GTGACCAGATGTCCCGATTTTATAGGGACAGTCCCTATAGTTGTAGCTTTTTCTTATATAGGCTCCTATTACCCCCCACCCCCGTCCTGATTTTTCACACTTGCTGTCTGGTCACCCTCGCTCTAGTGCACCTAGTGAACCCTGTCTCGTTCGCTGCCTCGTGCAGCTCTGCTTGGTGCTGCCTGTGCTCTCGCACGTGACGGGGCCGTGGGAGGGCGGGCGGGCGGCTCTGACACCCCGTCAAGCAGGAATTTATTCCAGGCTAAAACGCAGAACGAATGCGCCTGCGCCGGGGGAGCCGCTGAGGCCCAGGTGTCAATTGTGATGCGAGGGCAGCAGGCTCTGGCCCCGGGACAGTGTGGCTGGGCGACCTCGGGACAAGCCGGGCTGCGCCTGCCGGGCGGGCGGCCAGGGCGTATGGGGCCTCAGGAGAGAACTGAGGGCAAGGGGGGGGGGCGCACGTGTGGCTGCAAAACTCCTTCTGCTTCTGCCCCCCCCCCCCCCCCAAATCGTGTGTGTGTGTGTGTGTGTGTGTGTGTGTGTGTGTTTAAAACCTGATGTCCAAGCGAAAATCCAACCTGGGTAATAATTCCCTTCAGCCTCCCTAAACCGCCCCTACAGCTTCAGCTGGATGCTTCCTTGCAGCCGTTCCATGCTGCTGTTGAACGGTTGCAGTGTTTCACCCCAGAGGTGGCTGCATATCAGGGCTGGTCAAGGGATCCCTGTATAAACAGCCCCTGCACCGCACCCCACCCCCGAGGGGGCTGCATCTCAGCACAGCACAACAGGTCCCTGCCCCAAGCTCACCCCAGAGACAGCTGCATTCCTCGAGGCAGTGACGTCGTGTACGTGTGTATTTGGGGATCGGGTCCCATTGGGTTGAGAGGCCCAGAGAAAAGGAATGAAAGGGCCACACTGCAGCCCCACGTGCTGTGGGAGGGGGTGAGGAAGCGGCGTTCAAGCTTTGGCAGTCTCCCCAGACAACTATAAGTCAGGTCCCTGCCTCTCTGTGGCCTCAGCTCCCCCTCGGTAATATGGGGGAAAGGATCCTCCCTGTGTGTGTAGACTGGGACCTCAGAGGGGCCCAGACTGTATCTCACTGTGTCTGGGCGGCGCCCGGCCCGACGGGGCCCCGATCTTGGCGGTGCCCGGCCCGATGGGGCTAGGAGAGGCTCACAGGAACGCGTGTTGCTTTGAGAGCAGCTCCTGACCCCCCCGCCCCCCGCCCCGGCTGCTGGGCTCCCTTGGGACCGGGCGAGTCGCTGAGCGGGCACAAGCCCGTGGGGGTGCGCGAGGGCCTGGCTGCCCCCAGGCCAGGCCCCTGCAGAACCCAGAGGCACTAGGAGCAGAGAACATGGGGAGTTTCCTGCAGACATCGGGGGCTCCCCAAGGAACCAGGGGGAGCCGGGCCTGGTTCTCTGGGGCTCAGCCCGGGAGCCTGGATTTCCTAGCATAACACTGCAGGCAGGTGCCAGCCGGGGAAAGGAGGCCACTGCCCCGGCCCTGCAGGGCATCAGCTGCCCCCAGGCTGTTTTCACCCCAGCGTTGCGGGTCTCTGGTGCCTGTCTCCGCCACAGCAGGCCGGACGCGCCCGACAGGATACGGGGCCAGAGCGAGGGCAGTTCCTGGGGGCGAACCCCAGCACCGGGCGGCTGCGACGACGGGATGGGGTGGGGTAAGGGGGGGCACAACACGCGGGACCCAAAGCTCCAAAAAACGTTTTATTGCTTGTACCGTACAAATCCAAGGGCGCAGGTGAGCGCGGCGTGGACAGATTTACAGAACCAAAACACTCCAGGAACACCACCTGCCAGGTACTAGGCAAAGCTAGAACATCCGAACTCACACCCCTTATCTTACAGAGCGAATCAAGTATCAGCGCCCGGCCTCCGGGCCGCGTGCTTCAAAGCTTCACAATCCAGCTTTGGAGAAGTTTGTCCCCCGTCGCTGTCGGGGAGACCCACGAGGACGTGTCAGTCTACGTAATGCACCTCAACTGTTCAACTACAGAAACGGGGAAAGCGTCCGGACCCCGCCCTGCTCCGAGAGGGCGAAGGGAAGGGGACCGGGCCGCTGACGGCTCCTGCCACACCCCAGCCCCATGGCACAGCTCTCACACACAATCCAAGGCTGGTGACTGAGGTCAGCTCGGGGGCCGCCGGCAGAGCCGTGCCAGCTGCAGTCTCTGCGTCATTCGTCCGAGGTGCCCATCGCATTGGGGGCTCCCGGGGGGAGGTTCCCGGCACCACGAAAGTAAAACCTCCCACCCCACCGGGGGAGAAAGCTCCTACCCCACTGGCTGCTCGTCCATCCTCAAAGCTGGGCGGACACCGGGCTGGGCTGCAGACCAGGGCAGAGTAGAAGCGCTCAATGGGAAGCGTGTCCTGGCACAGCCCCTGCCAGCCGGGGAGGGGTGGCCCTTCACCCCTTGACGCTTGGTGAGGCACAGGAGGGCACCGGACGGGCAGCAAACCCAGTAGTGCTGATGGGAGGGGAGGACTCAGCAGCCCAGCACCTGAGCCAGGTGAATCGACATGAAATTCCAGCCACACGCAGCAAGCAAAAGGCCAAATGGGCATTAAGGCTCAGCGAGAAACAGCCAAAGAGTCGCGCCCGGGGGAGCCGGCCACTTGGCCAAAGCGCCGCGCCCGGGGGAGCCGGCCACCTGCCCAAAGCGCCGCGCCCGGGGGAGCCGGCCACCTGCCCAAAGCAGCCAGCGACCTGCCCAAAGCGCCGCGCCCAGGGGAGCCGGCCACCCGCCCAAAGCGCCGCGGCCACCTGCCCAAAGCAGCCGGCGACACGCCCAAAGCGCCGCGCCCGGGGGAGCCGGCCACCCAG